CAGTCGTGTGACTAACTCGGTCAGCTCCTGAGCCAGCAGACGACAGCATCGAGCACCTCCGGGTTGCATACAATACCGTCAAACAATGAAACCTCAGCTCTGCAGCTGGAAACAACCATAAGGATATATTCGTGTTTACCCAGAGTTTCAGTGTTTCAAAGGAAAGGCTGATTTAACTATCCTGGCTGTTTGCCAGTTTGGCAAAGGCAGGACAGAGCAGCGGCTTGCCCAAACTTTCAGGGACCCCTTTTTTCCTTCCCAGATGTCCAACCTCCTCAGCCACAGCTCTTCCAAAAAGCCTAGATTGTTATCTTAGGCCAAGGAGCAGGAGCATAGGAAACCAGGTTCTGTTTACTGCTCGCTGTTCGGAGGAAAGCCCATGGGGGCTGTCGCTGCTGAAGGTTAGCTCGGTGTGCAGGTGGATGGTGTGGGAGGGCAGGAAGGACAAAAACCAGAGCCAGCAAGAACTGACTCAGCAACGCTCACCCCCTTTCATTATCTCAGATCTTAAAGCAGAAATGTTAAAATACACTTTCAAAATGAGAAGGCAAGCTGGAGATGGTTTATATAATGCTGCTGGAAGCAGGCAGACGTTTTAACTCATGCAAGTTACCGAGAGCACAGATGTATTGGGAAGCTGCAGATGAAAGATCGTATCGCGTGTCATGGACAGTAATTGGGGACTGCAATAAGCTGTAATGTGCAGAGCACGTTTTAGGGCTTAGTGCAGGAGAAGGCTGAAGGACAGCCTTCCCATGCAGGAAGGGATGGGATCACAGCCCAAATGACGGGAAAGGAGAGTCCCACCCAGCACTGTGAGGGCAGCAAAGGACAAAGTCTTACTCCTGGCTGTCAACATCAGCTTGAACACTACAGCTTTGCAGACACCACAGGGTATAGTGTGTTATTGTTTCCCCCGAAAATAGCTTAAAAAATTCTTTAAAGAATTAACTATGCCCCAAAACAAATACTCAGTAAAACAGGAGTAACATTGCAATTTAAAAAATACAGACTTTCCTCTCTTAGGTAAGGAATAGAAACATCATCAAAGCTGGCAGCTGCTGATATAAATAGAGAGGCTACCAGGGCCGGCTGCAGGGCCACCATGAAGAAAACCGACAAAACCCCTGCTGTACTTGTTTTTCCATTATCTAATATTAGGCCATGTAGGTATTTATGAACTATTCTGCAGTGCATTCAAGCTAATTCCCAGAAAATCATGTGCCTGTGCAGTGAATTCAAGATTAGGAAGCTTTCCAATGTTTTCTTGAGAAGAGATGTGATCACCATGCAGTACTAACAGCAATTTGAAAATCTGCCTTGTTGGTTGGCTGCCAGATACTGACCCAACGAGCATCTTGTTAAGCCTCCAGTCATCGCTCCCCAGCTATTTGTGTCAAACTGTGTGCTCTGAGGCTTGAAGAGTCTAAAGCAACTTCAGACTGGGGGCAGAAGGACAGATATTAGTTACAGAACCACATTATAAAAGATTTGAAGAAATACTAAGTGCTCAGAAATTAGTGCTCATACAAGTACATGACAAGAGCCTCTCTGGTCTACAGCTGCAAGAGTAAGTCAGTAGTCATCAGGCCTGAAAGGCTCATTTAATTTCTCTGTAAAAAAAATGAAAAAGTAAAAATGCCACAGACATTTCCAGCCACTTTGGACAATCAGTCATGATCAATTCCCACCTCTTTCACCCTAGGACACAACAGGCATGAGTCACACAAGCCACTGAACAGGGCAACACCTCTGTCCAGATCTGACAGCCCAATGGGGAAAGGCACTGGGTCACTGTACCCTCTAACCCTTCTCTTCTCTGGGATGTACACTTACAGTGCTCAGAAACCAAAAAAATGCCTGTTAAGTCTGTGTAATGAGGTTATATTTAATAGAATCCATGTAGAAGCCTGTATGGACAGCCCTGCAGTGACAGGGACAAGAGCTACTGGCCGTTAAGTTTCTTACTTGAACAACATTAGCCCTTTATGCAGCCTGCCTCTGCCTCCTGTTCCACTTCTGGACAGCTGCTAAGGGCAAAAAGCACTCAGGCTGCACTGATTAGCTATCTTCAAGGAAAAAATCATGCCTAGAGGGCAAGGCAGCTGAAAGCTACCCAAAAGCCTTGCTACAAATTTTTGTATGAAACAGCACCTTATTTAGACAATTTGAAAAATGTTAGAGAGGGACACTATGGCTGGGAATTTGCATAATGGGCGTCTACATCTTGCTTACCTAACAGGAGAAGAATCCTGTCTGTCAGTAAGTCTAGACTGTGGTGTTGAATCCAGGGGACCAAGGAATCTCCCGGCCAGAAATAACAGCCGGTGCAGGGCAGGGTGCTGCCATCTGCTGACACCCACCTCTGTGACAGCGAGGTGGCAGAAACCTCGCTTTTTGTAGGCATCTCTGGATCGGGACTGCTCTGCAGAGCTAGGATCAGTGCTAAGATCCTAAGAGCAGCAAGAAAAGCCATTCTCCTCCTTGCAAAGCCTAAGCTGACTCTTCCATGTGCTCCAGGGAGTTCTGCAAGGAGTCGTGTCCTCTGCAGTGCCTTGCTCCACTGTGCTGGCTGGACTGCACTGTTAGCTGTAGCTGCAGTTAAAGCAATGGTACCACAACAGCCTCTTTATTAAAATGTATATACATTATTTAATATTAAAAAGCCACAGCATAACAACAGCTTTCAAATTTAAAATACTCCAGAGGCTTAGGTGGCTTAACAGAGACCTCTGCAGTTCAGACCAGCTCACTGCAGGCAGTTACTCCAGATGCAGTTTTTCCCACTGAACTGACACCCAAAAGGCACAAAGGTGTGCATTTAGCCACCGTTTCCACCTCCAAAAGCCTTGCTGCGACACACACAGAAACACAGAACCACTGGCTTTGGAGTCACATAGATCTCAATGCTTCCGAGCGACTGCAGCAGAACAGCAACCGTTGGTCATCTGTCCAACTTTTCTTCCTGCCCCAAAGCAGCATCAGCCTGACCCACTTCTCCCCAAAGCCCCAGTGGGGATATCAAACGCCTCCCAAAAACGGGGAGGTTTGAAACACTTGCTCAGTCTCCTGCCCCTTCAGTTCCAATGGGTACACTAATAGAAGCAAGCAACACTCCTTCTCTTCTTTGAAATACAGCACCCTTGATCTAAAGATAATCCATCTCTAGGACAACAGAAGTATGTGAGCAAGATACTCTATTCTCAGCTATGGGTTTGTCATCTCACCAAGCTTAAGTTCCTTTACCTTGCTGGTATTTCACACATGGGACAGGAAATATAGGATTTCACAAAAGGACTGCTGATGCACAACGGGACTTTTGAGGCTCCACGGAAAGCACTCATGCCAAGTATTACACGACAAAGATGGAGGTGACCAGAGAAAGGGGACACCAACACTCATGTACTGCAATCCATATTCCACTGTGAAATTTTCAGCTATTTAAGTGTTCCAAGCAGCAACAGATATCATTTCTTTAAAGCCTGCTAAAAAGATTTCTAACTATTTCATATAAGCAGCTGCACTTAAGTCAGCATCTGGTGACCAGCAGGGCGATGATGGACAAATGGGATGTGGTTAGACCCAACCGCATCGCGTCATGTGCAGTGCCACAGAACTGCCATCCGTATGGCAGTCGGGATTCAAGACATCGGAAGAAAGAGATATGTGAAGACAAGGTTGCGTGAAAAACTGCAGAAACTATTTTGGAAAAGGAAGCAGTGGAAATATGCTCGTGCAATGCTGTTTCTAGGAAGTCGGTGCAGACCAAACACTGTGCTTAATCTCACTGTCATTTCCTTCAAGCACACTAAAGTTCACTTGTCCAATGTGGCCTCTACTCTTTACACAAGTCAGTGAAGCTTGCCAGAGGGTGAACTACAGCTACAGGCATCATTCCACTTTAAATCAAATTTAAATATTGTATTTGGGGCACACAGAGAAAATATCAACAAAATGCACAAACTGGTCCAAAACTTTTAGAACAATGCTACTGATTTATTCTGTGCTCTGAGATCACACAAGCTCTAGTGCAATTTAAAACAGCACAACTGATATTTAACTTATTTCTTCTACAGAAAAGTCATGAGGCTTTAATCACCAAGCTGCTTCATTAACTGGAGATTACTAATTACAGGATTTGTTAGTCAGCATTACCAGACAATGTTTTAGTGTTGATTGTTTGTACAGGGAAGATTGGAACTGATGATTTAATAATTTTAATGGAATACAAGGTGATTCGCAAGAGCTGTCCTCAGCAGAATGGATAAAAATCATTACGGTTGTCGCATACTTCCAGAAAGTAACAGCTTCAGTGGGATCAATGTGAAGCCAAATATGAGAGACAACAGCACAGGACAAGTGAGGCATGCACCTTAAATCACGTGTCGAATCTCCTGCCTCTACCCTTGACCGTTCTGCTTAGAGGGCAGGGAGAAGACAGGTCATTTGCAGAATGTAACATTCCAGCATAGAGAAAAAAATGCTATTATACAGAATTAAAAAGCCATCATTTGCAGTACTTCCTGTTCGTGTGCTACTGGTTAACACATACATACATTCCAGCAAAGGCTAGATAAAAAAGGAAACTGAACTTCATCATCCAGCTACAGCAGTTAAAGCCTGCTGCTTCCCTTGGCTCCCAACAAGAACAAAGGCTCCCACACACACCTCACGCCTTCTGACTAAGAGGGACATGTCTTCTTTGGAATCTATAGATCTTCTTCCCTAATTAAGGAGGTGGATTACTGTTACATAACGAGCAGAACGTTGCTCCACGTGGGCAGCGAGTAATCACCAGCCTTTGTCTCAGACCGGCAGGAGCACGAAGAGTCAAATCAGAAGAGCACCTCGGAATAGCTAATGTAGTTGGGCAAACGCAACAGTATTATCTGCTGTGGCATCTTCCCACTGTAGCAGGTAAAACTTAACCATCAGTGGAAGGTAAATTAATAATGAAACGATACTGCAAGTTTCACAAGGGTAGAGTTCTTCTTGCTTACCTTCTTACTGCAGTGGAGCAGTTTCGGCTACTGTCTCGTAGGGTGCGCTTGCTGCCAGGGATCCCAGTTACGATTCCTTCTGGAAAGGAAACGAGAATTCAGGAGATCTATCACTGATCTACTAAACAGAAGGTGCATTATTAACGGAGTTATAATTTGGAATAATATATTTTTACTTCACTGACTGCAATTTAATCATAGCAATATTTACTTCAATAATTAGTGTAATAAGAAAGGCACTGCATTCACTCCAGTTGTCTGGTTTTACCAATATCAATTTTCCATGCCAAAGAACTAAATGTCACAGGTATGTTTTGAAATTAACATTGTTTTGTTTGAATTTTTACAGTGTTTCCAAGCACATCTTTATTTTGTTGCATACAACAGACACATTGACAGGGAATCCATTTTCATTTGTTTTTATAAATAACACACATGACCTGGAGGTCACACTGTGTATTTCAGACACTGAATGTGAATGTGTGGCATCTGAAACTGGAGATAACTAATGCTTCAACTACTGGATGAGAGTTCACTTAAATACTCTGCTCTAGATTTCACTGCAGTCTAACTACTGAACTACAGTCAACAGATGTTGAGCCTAAGTCCCCCATAGTGGGAGAAGGAGAGGTGTTTGCACCTTTGTATTTTTGGGGAGGAATGGTGCATAGCAGCATTTTAGCAAAGAAGCCAGCAGAGTCCTCTGGGTAAACACAGACATACTGGCAGGTTTAGTTTTCAAGAAACAAGCAGAAAAAAAAATGGTCTAGGAATGAGCTGCCCTTAAGAAAACAATTAAAAACACCCTGAGAAAAACCAAGCCATGTTTAGCTTGCTCGCATGTTGGGATGCTCCCCTGCCACACCACGTTACACGGCTCCGCAGGACGTCCTCCTTCCTGCTTACCAGTAAGACATTGCTCAACCCTCCTCCGGTCAGCCACTTACCACACTGAAGTCAAAGCTGTTGTGAGCGAGAGCTATGGATTCATTCCAAGAATCCATCTGAGCTGAAATCCAACCCTGCTTGTTTTCTCCACTTACTGTCTGAACACAAACAATTTTTTTTATTTTTTTTTTTTAAAAGGAGTAAAACCCACGTCATTTACTCTCCACTGGGTTTTAGGCCACGGCTCGCCTTGCCTCTTTCACCTCTATCTTCTTCAGATTTCAGTAAATCAAGGGGAGAGGAATAGCCCTCTTGCCAAAACAATCATTTTAAAATCAATATTTAATTTTTTTTTTTTTTGAGAATAGCAATTCCCACAAATACCATATTCCAAACAAGAGTGGCAAATGCCAGCTATCCACAAAAATATGAAGGTGATAGCAAGAGAAAAAGCCTTACTATGAAACAGAAGAATTTGTGTTAGGTTAGGAGACCAAGAGACCAAAAAGGAGCACGGCATAGAAGTGTAAACACTTCAGAGACAGAGCAAACGGCACCAGGTTTGCAATCAGCCTCTGAACGGCTCCTAGTCCACCACCGCTGATCCATCCCTCCAGGATCAGCAAACCACTTGCTGCTTTCTCACATTCCCCCTCCTCAAGTGAAGCTTGCCACAGCATCGAGCCCCTGGACCCCACCGAGGCTTTAGCTGGAGGGGAGCTGCACCCAGGGAGAGCAGGTGGAGAGGAGCCTGCACCTTCCTCCTGGCCCAAAATAGCAAATGCCAAAGCTGGGGCCTCGCTCATTGCAATCATTCCTGTTAAAGCAGCACAAGCCTGCCTGATCCCCGTTCAGAATTCAGTAATAAACCCAAAGGGACTGAAATTCAGTGGAATTTGTTGACCGAGCGGCACAGCCCTCCCAAAATACAGCATGGGAGATAGGCAAGGAGCATGCACAGGTCTATGGAGCTGAAAAAACAAGTGCTGCAGCATCTGAAAGGTCCTGCAGGCAAGAAAGGCCACCAAGAACATGGGAAAACATGTCCTCAGGAGCAGTGCTTTCTGGGATCCCCTTGCTCTGCCTCCAAGGCGGCATTTCCATCACAGTTCCTGTCTCTCCCTGCAGCACAGCTTAATAACCCTCTACAGAAAGGGGGTGCGATGAGCAGTCCGGAGGAATTTCAGCCCTCAGTAAGTCAATATGCTCTTCAGTCCTTTCCATACAGGATGGTGTGCCTTTTATAAGGGAAATAAATCAAGATTACTTTCCCAATACCCTGCTAATCACTGAAAAAGATGAACTTGACCCCATAAATCATAGGCTGCATCGAGCCAGCCTTCAGCTGCAGTCCCCACTCCATCGCCTCCTAACTCTTCCAGCTATACATGATTTCACAGCATGAAAAAATAATTACGGCTTCTAAATTGCAAACAGATTTAAATAGCAAGTAGCTTGGCCCCATGAAGTATGTGCAGTTGTTTAAATGCCTCTGGTGCTCTGTAAGAGCTGATAAATGCCAAGCTGCTACAGGAATCAGCCACCACCTCCAAGCTGCAGGAGAGAGCTCAATGCCTCATTTAAAGACAAGCCACCCAAAATCTAATCTACCTTTTGACTAAATGAAGTCTTGAAGCTGTAACTAAAGTAAAAACCTGAAATAACAATACAGACATTCTATATTTTTATTTGTGTTGTTCTTCCTTGAGCTTTGTCAATGCACCTGTCTTGATTGCTTTTCTTTCCTCTTAAAATCAAGACAGGGACTTCTGGACTGCCAAATTTTTTTTATTTTTTTTTTTTAAATCGGTCACCATTTTAAGAGCTGCGTAGGTTTTCTGCTGTCACTACTATTTCGGGACTATTCCAGAACCATAGCAGAAGTCTCTGCAGCTGAAGGCAGCCCCTGAGCAGCTCCCATGCAGCAGGTGGGAATAACACCACCGAGAGCACCACTCTCCCTGCAACATACCTACAAGTTTGACAAGGACATTTAACACATCATCATCCCAGACAGTCTATCTCTGCAGTACTGGTTTATGGCCTCTGCAAAGTAAGTTGGGCAGAAGACATGCCTGTAGGCAGGCCCTTTGCTAGAAAGCTACCTGTTAGGCTGGAGTCAAACTCTGCATGAGCCAGCACTGCTGCAGGAGCAGCCTCTTGCCTGGGATTCTCCCAGCTTCCCCCCCGCTCCGGTTTGCAATCAGTGCCAGCTTTGCAGAGACCCCAAACTATGCCTGATGAACATCAGCATTTCTCCTGCACAGACTTTTGAACTGCAAGTTAATACACATGGAACAGTTTGCAGCAGGGAAAAAACAACCCAACAACTTTCCAGATGAACACAGTACCATCTTTGGCTTTCCGCAGAAGCGAGCCTTTTGTTTACAGGCTTGCAGAATCTGACTCCAGGGGCTGGTCTGTTCTTGCTCAGAGAGGGAAAACAAGCCTGACCTCAGTGTGCTGGAATAAACTCTGCCCCCTCCTTCCTTCCACGCTTCTCCCAGTGCAAAGGTAAAGAACACGATATCCAGCAGCATGACCAAGCTTGCCAAGCGAAGTGTGACCGCACACACTCCTGTTTACTGACATCAAAAACAAGACTACTAGAGCCAAGGAGGTAAACTAACTGGACATGCTCCTTCTGCCATTCATCAGGTTACGCTGGCCGGCACTTCCCAGCTGGCGAAAGGTCTTCAGTAAGTCAGCTGGTCTCCGGTACGTTAAGTACATCATTCACTATTTAGCACATACCTCTCTGTGCATGGACAGCCACACTCACAGTGAACACTCCCCTATCTCCCACTTGTACCGTTTCCTACATGGTCGATAAGCAGGCTGCAATTTCCTCCAGGCGGATATTGCACACTAGCACTTGCTGGCAACAAAGCCTGAACAAAGAATCCGAAAGTCGTCATGCAAGTCTCGGAGTGGTTCTACCATTCTCATTAGAAACAGCTACTCATCATTGGAATTTGTCACACCAACAGGTTTGGAAAAAAACCTTGTTGTATTTGGACCTTCTTGACCTACGTCCTGCTTATGGTGCAGGCCAAAAACCCCTTGCTCAAGCCTGCTCTGTGATGTGCAAGCAGCTAGCAATGCAAGTACCAGCACTTTAAGAGATACCTTGAAGTGAGTGTGGGCAGCAAGGAGGGGAATTCCTTTCCGAACTAACTGGAAGCAGCAACAGTTGGTAATGCAAAGCATCTCCCAGGGCCAGAGCCTGCAGCTGCCAACGTTCCCTCAAAGCCAGGGCAAGGCTCGAAGGAAGCCAGATCATCCATTCCAGCCCACCAGAAAACCTGCAGTGCCAGGAACTCTGTGGGAGGCAGTCTCTGCAGAAGAGCCTTTCCACGAGGATCATCCAGCTCACCGACAGGAGGAACTTGCTATACTTCCCTCGGACACTCCAAGATCCGGCAGATTGTGGAGCAGGCAGGCAGCCAATGCTATCAATTATTCCAACTGTGATTAATAAAAAGTTCTATGAAAAGATTAGAGAGAGCTTAGGAATACAAGATTCAAAGACTCATCCTTCTGTAGCAAGTGCCTGCTGATTGTGCTACTAGTCCTCAGGACTTTTAAGGAATGCTTGAATACATGGCAAAGCATAAAAGACACTGCATTCATACAATGAACAAGACACCAATCCTACCACCTTTGTAAATGAAGGTCAATGTGCAATGTTCTTGACAATCTGACTTGGAGTTCTAAAGTGAGAACTAGAAAAAACTGTATTTGCACAGGCTCTAAAGAATAACTCCAGCCTGCAGTCTGCTCATTTTGCTATCAAGGATTGTGAGCACTAAAGAGCCATGCATTTAAAAAAAAAACAGAGCCAGTCAGTGTACTATTTGTGCAGAACAGCCTTGACATTCTCATTCCAGAAGGGAGTCCTGCTCCGATACAAGCAGCGTGATACAGCCTGCTGCGGCAGCTCAGCGGTGGGGCTGGTATGGAGCTCAGGCCCCCCTGGACCAGTGGACGATGCAACCTCGTTCAGCACCATTAGGTAACACAGAACAGCTCATGGAAAATGAAGCTGGCAAATGGCAAATGGCTCCTTTTAAGATGCCTGATGGATCCCTAATCAAGGAACTTGGGAACTGTTACATGCTGTACCACAGGGCTAAATTAAAGCATTCCTGGCAGGTACTGCTGACCGACAGATAACGAACCAACACCGAGATGCATCAGCACAAGACTGTGATTCAGAGCAGTGCTGCAATTATGAGGTAATGACCTGCTGTGCAGCATGGCACATCATCTCACTCTGGGCAAGTAGGGTGCAGACCCACACCAGAAGTTCAGGTTCCCCCAGTGCTGACATGTTAGTGAAGTTAAAGGGAGAGAAATGCATTACTGAAGGTGAAGTTGCTCAGATCGCGCTCAAAATTAAATAACCTTAATGGAATAACCAATGCTGGGTTTAATTCTGCTACTTAGTACTCTAATAATAGGAAAAAGATCTTGGTCCAGAGGTAGACTTTGTCATGTCTCTAAAAATATATACCTATAAATAGTAAATCACTATCAAACAATTGCATCTGGACAACCAATGCAAAATATCCATGGTAAAGAGAGAGCTTGTAAAGTTTAACTTTTCCCCATTAATTCCTCCAAGGGATGAGCAGATTCTTTTTTCCTTGTCCACAGAACTCCTGCCATTTTCCAGCACACAGCCCAGGATTTTTGCTAAGTAACAGCTGCCACAGCCAGTGCACATTTGCTTTTGGAAGCAAGTCGCTAATTGTGAAGTTGCTAGGAAGTCTGTTCTGGCAACTTGTTCTGGAACATTTTTTAAGTCCTAAAAAGGGAAGGCTTGGAGGAGAGACAAGCAAAAAGGGCCTTCCCTATGTCCTGCAGTGCTTCACACCTCAAGGGATCTATGCTTCAAGCTTGAAAGCTACAGAAACCATCTGACAGGACCCATGCTACTACCCTTGTCACTTTAAAGTCCCTCCAAAGGCAAAGTCTGACCAGCAGCTGCTCCTGTGAAGCTCAGCTCCTTTGGGGTCTCTGAGCAGAGCAACAGAAAGCACTGCTAGCAGCTGTGCTGCTGGAGGACGGAGAGCAGCCTGGCACCCCAGCTTCGTGCACAAAGGCATCTATGCACGAGTGGTTTTACATGGGGGAAGGTGCAACACTAGACCACACAACCCTGTAAAAGGAAAAAAAAAAAAAGGAAAAAAAAAGAGTAATTCATAACTGAAGTTGAAGCATGAAATGCCTTAAACACTCATGGATCTAAGGAAAAGGAGCAGAGGTGAACAAGGATGCCTAGCACAGAGCAGTGCAGCATGGTACACGAGCACTGTATTTACCTACCCAGCCATTCTGCAGCAAGCAGAGTGGTCTCTGAGCAGTCTGGGGTATTCAGAAGGACAGCTACTACACAATCACACACTCCTACTCAGGCTTTGTTTTTCCTCTGAGCAAAAGAGGAAAAAGTTTAAAATAAACGTTGTAGACAGCTGCATTCCATTTGCAAGAGTTCATTCTTTAAAGAAACGGGACAAACTAATTCCTCAGTAAATATTTGGGTTTACAACTCTGCTTAGCAGTATCTCGTTAAACACTTCTAAGATTTTAGAGCACCAGTAATACACTCAGGACAGCAGTCCATGGAAATAACAAGACCTACTTCAACAGTAACAAAGCTATTTTTAAAAATTTTACTTATGGGATGCCAATTTCCTGAAGCTGTTTGGAAAATTAAATTTTAAAATGTACAAACACTAATGGAACAAAAATGTGCTATAGCAACAGCCTTCTTTTGCTAGGAGATAGCCTAGATAAGTTTCTGGACTTTCCAACTTACTTTCATCCAAAAAATCACCTTTTCCTCCTTTTAGAGGACAGATTAAGAATAGCAACAAAAAAATCTGTATGTCTGCAGCAAAAAATGTTTGTAGAGAAAGTTTATTCCTAAAAAAAAAAAAATTAAAAAAATCTTCCAGTTTTAGCAAATGCCTCCAGCTGTTATAAACAGATCAAACCAGTGACAATACACTTCTTTACTCTAGGGATGCTTAGGTTTAGCATAATTAGATTAGCTCAATGCCTCTGCCAGGCAAATAAGCAATACAAGAAGTTCTTTTATGTCGCTGACAACTTCCTAAAAATTGGAGGAATTTTAAAATGTACACCAACTTAACAACTGCTTGAAACAGGAAGAGGAGGTGAAAGAGTATCCAGCTAAAGCAGCAAGGGAGAATTCATTACACTGTAAATACCAGAGTGAAACACAGATGGGATGCTGAGCTTTATAATTCTTAAAGTGCCATTATAAAAGTGTGCAGGCATTTGCTTTTAAATATTATGACAAGCAGCTGAACAGCATAAAGTATAGCTATTTTCATAGGTTGCACCAATAATTCAGAAACTGTTCCAGTAAAACAAATACTAAGCATCAACAGGCTGTTGACTTCAAATCAATAAAAACACCACACAAAAAAATAATGACAAACTAGCATTGCTTGCAAGGTAGCAATAAAGCGCTCCCCAGGGAGGGGATCTTTCCCCCTTTCCTACCAATGGGTGAAGTTCACGTCATTCTGCCATTACAGCAAGTGAGAAGGGAAAGAAGAAAAATGTCTTGAGGAAGGATTTAGAAGCAAGGTTAATAGTTTTGTTTTAAACATGGATGTTTCTCCTGGGATACATTTTTATCTCAAAGCAAATTTTGAGGTTATTTCAATGTACTTTCATGTTATACAAGTGCCCTATCTTCTAGGGGCTATCAAGCAATTTTATACAGTCAATTAGTAAAAAAACCAAATGCCTTAATGAACCTGGGAAACAGGGTGCTCTTGATATATCAGTGATTACTAGGCCAGGGCAGCATCACTTCTTCAAGATATAAGTCACCAATAAAGGTGATTTCACATAACTTTAGGAACTGGGCAAAAATTGACAGCATTAAAAACTGCTTCCTAAATAACTGATAGGTGCTGTGAGAGTCCTCACTAGCAGCAGAGAACTGCTGGTTATTCACCATGCAGAGCTGAACAAAACAAAAGGGTTCACAAATGGGTCCTGAAAACAGAAGCCAAACCTAGCAGTGACAAGTCTTTCACAGGCCCTGCTGCAGGAACAGCTTAAAAAGGACAAAAAGCACACTGGGCTGGGGAGACATGTATGCTTCCATACTTCAATAAAAATCTTCCTCTTCAGTGAACAAAGATTTGCTTTTGAGATGGAGACTGGCATAAGCATTTCCTGTTTGGTGCCCCAAGGCAAAATATTATAATATAACAACCTCCATTAGTTTTCCTTTTTTTGTTTTTCTCCCCGATTCCTTATGTTTTTAATTAAGTCTCCAGTTGACTCTGACTCACAACAAAGCTCTATGCTGATCCCATGAACATCGTTCCCCTCTTGGAGGAGACACCAAGTGCAAAATGTAGGGCAAAATGACGCAAGTGGGACAGATGGGACATTTTTTAGGAAAGTGAGGCAAGAGGAAGCGCTGCTGTATCCCTGCCACAGTCTGGGGAAAGGACCAAGAGTCACATGATGATATACAGCTCCTAATACATTTGCTAATGAGCCTGCCAGTCAATTACTCATTTCAAATGGTTTTAAGGACTTACGCTCTCTCAGCATTCTGGAGACTAATGCTGTTTCTTAGCACGCACGCCTGGCAGCGATGCTGTGCGGTCCAGCTGCCAGGGACACACTGCCCTCTCTTGGAGACTCCAAAACCAGCCCCACAGAAGGATGCTGAAGACCAACACGCTGTTGGCATCTTCAAAACTAATTTCTGCCCAAGAGGCAAGTCAGAGGCAACAAGCAACTCTGGTAACATTCCCCTGCCTGATATATTACTTTGGGGAAGGAAGCGTGAGTGCCTTTTGGAAAAGCTGCTCTTAAGGTAGGTCAGTTTTAACTAATAACCTTGAAGGTACCTTTATATCATCCTATCAAAACTTAAATCTTTTCACCTGGAATTGTACGGCAGATAATGCATGGCACAACTGTGTCTACCCCTGAGAATATTATACCATCTACAGAGCGGTGATACTGTGGTATGGTAACAGTCATCACAGAAAGAGAATGTAATTCAGAATAAGCATTCCAACTTATAGGCAACAGCTACATATGAGCTTTCTGTGTGACCTTGGGGCAATTTTAGACACTTACCTTGGTCAAACTGTCTCTAAGTGGACTCTGAGCATGCTGCTAGTGCATTCACACTACTCACTTGGTAAGATACCCCTGGTTTGCGGAGTCAAGGATACAAAGATGTGGAAAATTAACTGTGAGGCAGGAGGGATGGTTTGGATGGCTTTGTGGTGTACTGCTGCATAAACATACCTGGTCAGAGAGTGTTCACACCACCTTCTTCAGCACAAAGGCAGATGTGCTCTCTGGCTTAAAAAAGGACTGCTCTCCTAAAAAAAGGAAATGGAGAGAGTTTTCAGCAATTAAAACGTTCCTGCAGAGAATGCCTGCTACTCTAAACATCAGGCTTTGATCCAACCAGCTGAAACACCTCACACTTTTTTTTTTTTTTTATTATTTAATGAAGGCAGACATAGTAGCCATATGGCTACAAAGACCCTTTTTACACTGACAAACACAGGCACTGTTTTCTCCCTGCTTGAAACCAGGCTAGACCTGGCTATTACAGAACTATTTAAAGTCACCCAATAAGTATGAGGGACATGTCACATGGATTCAACGATTAGCAGCTTCACAGCTATGATGGTCGCCCAGCTTTAAGGCTGGCTCCTGCCAGGCAGGCGGAGCACCTGTCTGCACTCAGTGCAATTTCATATCTAGGTCTGAAGATGGCTCCATCGGCACAAGAGATGCCATCCACTCATGCCTCCCTATGCACAAGAAAAAACAATATTAGGCACACAAAGAATTAAGAAATATTCAGAATGCTTAGTCAGCCATCAATCGCATGTTATTTGTCATATGCTGACAACAATGATGCTGTGAAGGCAAGGAAGCAGTCACATACACGCATTATATATTTCTAAAGATGTAAGACTGCGATACAGAAGCTACAACAAAAGAAACTAGAGAAAAATAGCCTGAGCAACTCATGGAAGTCAAAGAGAAAAAGAATGACAAAGACAGATTTAACTGAAGAAAGGGAAAAGGAAGGCCTACCTGCAGCATTTCATTTTTTGTTCCTCCCCACAACGATCAAATTAAAAAGCCCACACACTTAAATTAAGTACAAGTTACAGGGGAGCTGGAAATACAGTCATTCAGAATCACTATTTAGGTTAGGAAAATTGCTGCATTATATTCCTTTGTCAAGCGGCAGATAATGAAATCTGCAGAAGAAAATGTGGAATTTGGACCCATCATGCAAGAATCAGTAGCAAACTGAGGAAATCTTAGGTACAGGTTTACCAAGCTGGACCTAAGGAGCCCTGGCCCCATAAACACCACCGAGCAGAGCATAAGTGACAATGACAGGACACAAAAGCGGCTGTGCAAAGATCCCAACGCTTTCCCCCATGTCCTCATTGCAGCTACAGCCATAACACCACCCTCACACACACAGCCCAACAAGTTTTAGACCTCAACAGGGTTTTTTTTCTTGTGTTTTTTTTAAAATACAACATAAAAAAACCAGAACTTGGGGTGGGCATGTGCCCAGGACCCTGTTACAGAGCTGTGATTTACTAATAAACCTTTCTTCAGGAACCTTCACAATGTTTAATTTATACCTTTGAAAACACCTCTGATAAAACCCTGGCTCTACCAACGTCAGGCAAGATTTGTCATTGGCTTAAGGGTAAATATCCTAGTCGTGTGTACGTTTACATTGCATTGTGTCTGAAGCTCCAGATATGACTTTAGTATTTAATTCATGGTGACAGGCAGTCACCTCAGCATTTCCAACAGCCAGTCAACCCCTGCAAACAGAAGGCTACCGAGACCTCTCCAAGGCTTGACCCTAGATGAAACCCTCTCTAGCTATTAGAAGAGAAACACCCAATTCACACTAGAACATTTAACGGAAGAAAGCACACAGGAAGTAGAGAACATGAACGTTATTATTTTAGGTAAAGCTTTTGCAAGCTTGGGTTTCCTTTAAGGTGTGATAAAAACAATCAGGTAACTAGGGCTGGTGCTGCAAGGGGCCACAGGGCAATAACAGGGCTGCTGCTGGTGCTTGGCCTGTTTTCATGGCAACAGCACTAAAACAGATGCTACAAGCTCTGCGAGGGCAAGTAGCTACATAGCTTGTTTCTAGAGGGAACTGTTTAATGTCTAATCATTAACATAAAAAACACCCTAGATAAAAGTCAGCTAGCGATAGACTAAAGCAATGATGCATTTCAAGTCAGCAGAGTCATTACAGTCACCAGGAAGCGCGGGATGTTTGCTTGTTCCTGTTATGGCTCTACCGTGTTTCCCCTGCAGAAGGGACAGCTTCGCAGGAAACAATATAAATTAGAAAGAGTCATCTATTTGTTCTTCAAACCTCTCTCATCGAAACAGCGAAAGCCTTCGCTCCAGCATGCTGAAGGCAGCAAGGTCAGACGTGCTCACACATGAGGGAGTTTTAAGCTGCTGCTGCCATTAAAGACGAGAAGCAGCAGTGGCAGCGTTGTGAGCTTGCTTGCCACAAAGACTGCAGAGTTACGTAGTCTGAAAGATGCAAACTTAAAATCTATCAACCCCATAACTTGCCTGGTAAGGTTGTGAGGACAAAGCAACACCAAGGTGCACCTGTAGGACCCTATTCTGTGATAAAGCAGCGCACCTGGGAGTCCCGCAACAGCCTGAGATAGAAATGGAGGTGCATTAACTGTCCACTGCCTGTGCGGCACATCTGCCCTGTGGAATCGATGCCAGATGTCCTGTGCTACACGCTTGGATGCAGACAGGCAGGCTCTAGGCGCAGTTACGGCATGTGCACCGTGCAGCCCAGCCGTGCATCAGCGCTGGTCTCCTACCTGCAGCTTCTAAGCATCATCAGCTGCTCTGGCTCCAACCTGACTGTTAGACAAACACAGGCACTGCTAAGACGACATGCAAAACGTCAAGTTCTCTTACCCTTCCAAGAAATCTGCTGCATTAAGACACCCGCTAGACTTACTCCAGTCCAGCCCACGAGGCAACAATATCTACCAGCCTGCGTACTGGAACAGAGAGGTATTTGTTCCCTTTTGTATCAACTGTACTCTCTGGGCTAAAATCCAGAGACAACTGCTGAAAGCAAAACCCCTCAGCTGCCAAATAGGCACGAGGTTCCCAGACCCTCCTTCCACGCGCCTCTGTCCAGGAGGGACGTCCGCCTCGAGCCCCCTCCTGAGAAAGCCTCCGAACCTGCCGCTGTAAGCGAGCACAGGCGAGGTTGCTGCAGCTGGAGCCTGACGAGATAACATGTGAAATAAAACAGAACTAAGCCAGATCATTTTAAATTGATATAAATCATTCTTTTTCTTTGCTACCACAGGTATGTACGCTCCATGGATGAGTATGGAGAAAGTCTGCATCATCCTCACTAAATCTTTCAAGTACCTTTATCACTTCACCCCCACCAAAAAAAACCCCCTGTTAAAACAGACCTAGTGTTCAAAGACAGGTTCTAAACAAATTTAAGTGTAAAAAAAAGCCCAGAAGACTATGAAAAAAGCAGCAGCACGTCAGCAACCATATCTGTTTTCACTTCCTGAAGCCAAAACATTGCTCTGTCCATCACGCAGTAACCCCAGGCCCTGTACCCAGCTGTAAATGTGGTGTGCTCTGCCAGAAGATGCCTCCGCAAAACCAGCATCTCCTGCCGGCCATGCGGGACTCGCCATCCTTCCACGAACACAAGGACAAAAGCCCAATGCGACAGGGCACAGCACCATCCCTGCCCAGCTGAGCTGCAGCAGCAGACAACAAAACTGCAGGGCTTTCAACACGCACCTTCACGCTCTGAAATATTAAGAAAAATTACTTAGGATTACAAGATGGCACCACAAACCTAAATGTATGTTCACTGGTTTTTAACAGAGCTGTTTACCATTTGTTCTTAATCTCCAGCCCCTGTATTTATAGCAAACCTACTCATATAACAAAGCTTTGCTGTGCTTGAGAGCATCACAGAAATAGGCCTTTTTTAAAAAAACATACTTGAAAGACGTATCCGAATAACACTTTGCCCTTGTTTGGTATCTTTTATCAAAAGCCTCTTAAGCAGCAATTGTTTGCTTCCCTACTAATCTGCTGCTGAAAAAAATCCCAACTGCCTCATTATAATCATGTTGATGCTTCTCAAAATCTGCAGTCAGAAACTTGGGAAGTTCTTGAAATCTGTTGTCCCAGAGACAGAGCATCACTACTGCTCTGACTTTGTAGCCACCAGGAACATCACCCCCTTCACCCACAGCCACGATGCAAAACCAAAACCGTACAGGTATACAGGGTCCTTATAAGCCTGCTGAGCGTGCTGCAAAGCAAGTTGTTGCTCTGCCACTGGGATTAACGAAGATCATCTGAACCTGCGTCCCCCACAATGGACCAATTTTGGCAGGAGCTCAGAGAGAAGTCCCTTCCACCACTGAAACACCAAGTGTGGTTCACATCGCACAGAAGACGACAGCAGGAGTCCGCAGCATCCCAAGACCCAAGCTGACTTGTGGCAATGCAATTTCAACTCTCTTCTTAGCACCTACGTACAGTAGCATGGTCGACCTCACTCAGACCAGCTAATGAAGTCTGAATTGCATGAACAAACCTCCTAAGATCAGAGCAGCAACCACTATTGGTAGGAAACTGAAAAAGCCTTCAGATGCTACAGAAAGCCCACTCCTAATGAGATCTGTTTCAGTGTCACATAAGCCAGTAAAGCAAACTAATAATATTTATAGAAATGGATTAGAGCTGAATCTTCTTTAAATCTGGTCATGCAAAGAAACAAGCAAATTCACATTTGCAGAGAGGTACTCGCCAGCTCTGGGTGTGAGGGTGAAAGAGGTCACGAATTTATGAGCTCTCACAAATTCATTCTCTTCTAGCACATTTATACAGCTCGCAAAACCTTGAAAAGAGCACTTGGCGACAAGTCTGCCAGCAAGCTCTCTGCTCCCTGAATTCTTTATCATGCAGGTTTTAGGGACAAGTATTAGAATATATGACAGGTTCACCTGCTCCTTAACTTTCTACTCCAACAACTAGTTCCACAACAACCCTTTAAATTAGGATGCTAATAAGGATAACGGCACTATCCTGGAAGGAAGGTATAAGAAGCAAGAGCACTGACAACTTTCATCATCTATTTTTCTTAGGCAAAATTAAACACTGCTAGTGAAAATGGCTTTTTACTTTGATAATCTCACTTAAGTTTGGTCTACATAACTATACAGACCCCAGAATGAAGTGTTTACTATGTGAAAATGTAAAATAAAAAGTTTTAAGTATTCTACAATTTA